CCTCTGTTTTTGTAACCCGCAGTGTTTTTTGGCAGAGACTTTGAAACAGGTAATAACTCAAGTACTGATGAGTGGATTTTTATGATTGTTGTTATGCATTCATCAGCATTAAGGTACGTGATATTAAGAAAGATCTCTAAAAGAGAAATGACACAAAGAGGTATCAGTAGACAGCGATACCGATAGGGTAAAAAGAGGTGTACAGTACTTACACGAATTTGATGATTACAACCTCAATGAATCCTGGGATTCCTACATAGACTGCTGTAAGCTGTTGTGAACCAAAAAGATATCTATGAAGTTAAGAAGCATACAAATGCTGTTATTCATTGTTCTTCATGACATATTCAACATATATAGTCACTCCACTTGGAGTACCTAGCTCTGCTACAATACAATTATAAGTATGCCTAAAAAATACACACAACTTACCGATTCCACCACTTGAATGGCGAGGGTAGTGAATTCAACAGAGTTCCTGTCATTGTAATTTGAGTTGAAATCCAGTTGCATCGTGAGTCCTGCAGGGACGACCTTCCTTGGTCCCTCTGTAACGACATGAAAGTTAAAAAGGGAAACTTTTGATCAGAATGACAAGAGTCTATCTATTCAACATACACGTACTTTTCCAGAGGCAAGAATTGATAGCAAGAAAGCTGTACCTGGCCTAGCGGGTGTTGTAGGAATTGCAGTTGTGACGACTGTTGGTGTAGTGGTCGGCGCTCGTGTTGTCCCGTTGGTGACCGCCTGTGTTGTAACATTTTCTGTTCTGTTCACCACCGCTGCTGTTGTTGTTACTGCTACCGTGGGTGTTAGTGTTGTCGCTTGGACTGTTGTAGGTGCCTTTGATGTTGAACTTGCAGTCGTCGATGCGTTTGATGTTGTAGGGGCCTCTGAGGTTGATTTTTGTGTTGTCAGTGTTGTCGTTGTATTTGCCACTGATGTTGCATTTGCCGTTGACGTCACGGCCATTGCCGCTGTTGTTGTAATGTTTGCTAATTTTGTCGTCACTTCTTCTGTAGAGAAAACGGTTTCAAACGTAACTGTTGTGGTCAACGTTGTAGACGCGCTTTCACTTGTAGTGTTGGTTGGTGCCTGCGTTGGTGCCCTTGTAGTTACAACAGTCGTAACGTTACTAGTTGTTGTTGCTTCGGTTGTAACGTTAGTCAACGCGGATGTAACTTCTGTTGTTGGTTCCATAGCAGTGGAAACAATAGCAGAACTGAAGGATGTTGTACCAGGGTCAGTCGTAAGGGGGGTTGTTGTACTGGGTGTGTCACTAGAAGTCTCTTGGAAGGAAATAGATGGAGAAGCGGAAACTTCTAAAGTAGTACTTACTGTTGGAGCTATAGAAGAAATAGCCTCTAAGATAGATGTGTCACTGTCCGTTACCGACACCGAGAAAACAGTTGACGACGATAAAGCAATATCTGAAACAGATAGGATTGAAGAGTCAATGTCGGTAGGAACGAATGTGGGAGTTATAAACTCAGACGAGATGGCCGAAGCTGGTGACAAAAAGGGAAGTGTGGTAACTGTGGGGAGTGCCTCAATAGAAGTAGTCATCACTTGAGTAGAAGAGAGCCCCAAAGCAGACATTGTGGTGACTCTCTCTTCTTCTATTACCGACGTCACAGAGAGAGTAGTCGCAAGGGACATGTCATCTATACTTTGTGTGAAAGTGGATAAAGACTGCCTGTAACGTCGTCTGTAGAAGATACCGTTTCTGATGTTACTGCAGACACAGGTATAGAAGTTGTTTCTAGCGTAAATACCTCCAGCCCAGGAGTAACTACAGAAGATAGGTCTTGTGATAAGGAAAGAACTGTGGTAACATCGACTGTTACAAACGACGGTGAAAGAGAAGCGAAGGTTTCTTGTATGATTGTAGTAGATGGCAAAAATTCGTAAGACGTGACAACAAAACTTTCCACCGGTGTAGAGACTGAGACCACTGTAGACAACGCAGCGGTACTACTGAATGTGCCCATGGGAGAGACAAAGTCACTCTCTAGGTTAGAAACCTCTACAGTGAAACTGGAGAATTCTAGGATAGACGTTGGAGGCAGAGAGGGAAGGGCGACTGTCGAGTTTGACAGTTCAGAAATATCCATGGTAAAAGATATAAGATCGTGAGTACTGGCTATTGGGGTGGATGAAACAAGGGGAAAACTCGTATCAAGTAAAGTAGACACAGTGAAGTCAAAAGTGTCAGGGATAGCAGTTGTGAGACTTGGGGTTGTTATTGTAGACGTGAGTGTTATAAAGTTATCTTCTAGAAAAGATGTTATCATTATTGGACTGAGAGACGGCTGCATGAGCGATGTGGATACCAGGAAACTAGGTTCCAGGGTAGAAGTCTCCACAAGGGAAGTGAAAGGGTCTGTTGAAGTGAGAAGCATTTCTTCCAAGCCCTCGGATGCCGTGAGACTGTAAGGGGGGAATTCTATAGTTGTAACGGTATCTGTGAACAATGGAGTACTTTGAAGAGAGACGAGGAACAATGGGAGTAAGCTAGGTAACATTGTGACTGTTATTGTTTCAGAAGTAAGGTTCTCAGAAATTGGTGTTAAGAAATAAGTAGTGGTTTCTGCTTCTGTCTCTGAGATTAAAGTTTCGAAAGAAGGAAGTAGGAATGAGGGAGAAGGCTCTAAGATGTCCAGGGTGGTATCTACAGATACAGAAAAAAAATCTTCTGTTGTGGAAGGAGCAAGACTGAAGGAGGGGGTTTGTGGGAGAGATTGGATCGTAGACACAAGAGTCAGGGCAACTGTACTATCGGGTTCAGATGTGAAAGTGGGAGTTTCTTCCATAGGAGATGGTCCAGGAATTGAACTTAAAAATGTGGAGAGTAAAGGTTCTGTAGCTGTGGGAGTAAGAGGGACTGTAAAGGCTATAGATGTCAGAAGAAGGGTCGAAACGGCCACAGATTCTGATACAGTCACAGAGGGGTTGATATCTGTTAGGAAAAATGTATCCGTAAGTGTGCTAAAAGAGGTCGGGCCGGGTGTAAGGGTGGATGCACTGAATCCTGGAATTGTCGAATCTCCGGATCCGTCTGACTCTAGGAAAGTTACTGTAGCTGATTCGACTTCGGAGGGTGAAACTGGAGATATGCTGTCTGGTATTGTTTCTTCAATAGAACTGAAGGATATGGAGTTTGAGCGAAACTCCGGTAGGGATGGCGTTACTGTGAGAGTAAGAAACTCGGAGATTTCTGGTAGAGTTGAGGTGGGAAAGCTGGGCGTCTTGGTAATGCTAGGTTCAGGGAGGAAGCTAGATGTCGCAGTAACGCTAGGTTCAATGAGAAAGCTAGGCGTCTCGATAATGATAGATTCAATGAGAGAGCCAGACGTCTGGTTAACGCTTGGTTGAATAAGAAAGCTTGTCTCCACAATGCTAGGTTCAATAAGATAGCTAGACGTCTCTACAATGCTATCTTCAGGGAGAAAGCTAGACGTCTCCGTAATGCTAGATTCAAAGATAAGGCTGGGCAATTCAGTAATGCTAGGTTCAATGGAAAAGATGGGTGACTCGGTAATGCTAGATTCAGGGAGAAGTGTAGCCGTATCGGTAATGCTAGAGTCAGGGAAAAAGACGGACGTCTCGAGAATGCTAGATTCTAGGGGAAATATAGACGTCTCCATAACGCTAGGTTCAATGAGAAAGCTAGACGTCTCCACAGTGCTAGGTCCAATGAAAAAGTTAGACGTCTCCACAATGCTAGGTTCAATGAAAAAGCTAGACGTCTCCACAATGCTAGGTTCAATGAAAAAGCTAGACGTCTCCACAATGCTAGGTTCAATGAGAAAGCTAGACGTCTCCACAATGCTAGCTACAGTGAGAAAGATGGACGACTCGGTAATGCTAGATTCAAGGAGAAGTGTAGCCGTATCGATAATGTTAGATTCAGGGAGATAGACAGACGTCTCGATAATTCTAGATTCGAGAGGAAATATAGATGTCTCGGCAATACTAGGCTGAGGGAAAAAGCTAGACGCCTCCACAATGCTAGGTTCAATGAGAAAGCTAAACGTCTCAACAATGCTAGGTTCAATGAGAAAGCTAGACGTCTCCACAGTGCTAGGTCCAATGAGAAAGTTAGACGTATCCACAATGCTAGGTTCAATGAAAAAGCTAGACGTCTCCACAATGCTAGGTTCAATGAGAAAGCTAGACGTCTCCACAATGCTAGGTTCAATGAGAAAGCTAGACGTCTCCACAATGCTAGGTTCAATGAGAAAGCTAGACATCTCAGTAACGCTAGGTTCAATGAGAAAGCTAGACGTCTCAATAACGCTTGGTTCAAGGAGGAAGCTAGACTTCTCGGTAATAGATCCAGTGAGAAAACTAGCCGATTCAGCAATGGAGTCAATGAAAAACTCTGCGTCTCAGTAACAGTTATTCCGTCAGATATCATAGTGGTAAGTGGAGAGACGTAATCCAGTGTAGGGGAGCCAGCTGGCGCCAGTGACGTCACGCCATTGATACTGAAGGCCGACGGGATTGACGTTTCCATGGAAACATCTTCTAAAGAGACAGATGTGACAAAAGCCATCGATGGTTCGATATCTATGGCAGTTGTTACAACAGAGGGCTCAAAAAGTCCTAGGAGAGACAGTGTTTCGGTGGGAACAATGGAGGCTATAGAGGGAACTTTGTAGGTGCTGTATTCCGGTAAAAACAACGAGACAGAAGGATCGGTTACCATGGAAAAAGTTTCTGTACTTTCAAGAGAAGTAACAGTTTCAGTTAGAAATAGGACGGGCGATTCATACGCCACAGTGGGAGATATAAGTGTGTGCATAAAGGTTATTGTAGAAGGTACATCTCCAGGTTCAGAGTAAGATATTGTATCAGAAGGGGATACAAAAGACTCCTCTGTCTCTGGTATAAAACCCTGAGTGGGATAAACTGTATCTAGGGGTAAGGAAAGTGCAGGCGTGGCACTAACTGACTCCTGGAAGCTTGTAAGAGTGGCTAAAGATGGGAAGATTTCAGTTTGCGTTGGAACAGATGTCTCTAGCTTTTCCGATGTAGCACCGGTACCAGTAAAACCTGAAATATGAAAAAAATATCAAAGTAAATAAACTACTATATGGATGCCTGTTGAATGGGTTGTAGTTCAGGCATCAGTGTTATATATGACGTTTTGTACATTTGCAAAAGATGATAGCTATAACAGCAAAGGATCTTGTTAGGGTTTAATACAGTTAATACTGTCATGTTTAACTGCCTTGCCTCGCAGGAATATAGCGAAAAGAAATGTCTCCGCCCCTGAGGCGTCACTAAAAATGCAGCTGCTTACCTGACAAACTGACGTACAGCAATAGTACCAGTCTGTGTTGACCGTTCAAGTGACGCATCCTGCCGAATTTTAGCGAGTCGTATTTCTGCTGTCGGCTCGATGTTTAGTCAGCCCCTCTCCAACTTTTGTCTAGGACGTTACTAGTCACTATTTCAACAGTGAAATTGAAGTCTCAGTCGCACAGTACACGTCTGTTCAACTCAAGTTCAACTCTTGTCCTGCTGGGTTCATTTCGAGTTGAGTCAAGTCATTGTTCTTCTGAAGCCGAGTGTCCCATGTCTAGCCTAAGGACGTACATGTATATTCTCACGTCTGCTGGAAAGATATCAATATTCAGTAGGTACAGAGCAACTCAATGCAACTTACGATTTTAATTTAATAACCTAAACAATTCACAGGTCCAAGTCTAAGGCACTAAGTCCAAAGTATAGTTTATATACTCACAGTAACTAGGAAAATAGTTGGAATACTGACAAACATAAGAGATGTTACATAAGTTACTAAAAGTCATTAAATCGAGTGATTGGTGGTTACAAACACCTGATCAATAATACAGGTCAGAGGTCATCAGGGGTTACAGGTAGCCTAATTTTATTTGTAAGAAAATTTTATAGTTAATCCACTAAAATCTGACTCTTTCACGACCAATCCTTTTCCCTCGTTTTATCTAAACCAGTGCGTAAACACTTAAGAATTAATTGCTTGGGTTATTTTTCACACTTGCTTGTTTGAATTGTTATATTTGTTAGCCTGTTATTTCCCATTATTGTCCTGGATTATTGTGGGGAGGGCATGCTCCCTTACGACCTCTGATCTCCCAACATTACTACTGAATTCGAAAATATAATTAGCTAGGATTGTGTAGATTTTAGCCCTGAC